GAAGACTGATGAAGACTGATGAAGACTGGTGAAGACTGATGAAGACTGATGAAGACTGAAAAAGACTGATGAAGACTGATGAAGACTGGTGAAGACTGAAGAGAGAATGTTCAACAGAAAACAGTTCAATTCCTGCTAACACCAGGTGCAGTAACAGTACCAGGTGCAGTGACAGTACCAGGTGCAGTAACAGTACCAGGTGCAGTGACAGTACCAGCAGCAGTGACAGTACCAGGTGCAGTGACAGTACCAGGTGGGGTTGAACTCCGTCCTACAGTTGTGTTGGTGTCAAACCAACCACTTCCTGTCTCTGCTCTACCTGTGGGTCGTCCTGGTCCTGGGACCTGGTACCAGGTCTCAGCTGAGGTCTAGTCTCTAGTCCCTCAGTCCAGTCCACAGACCTCAGACCTGCAGGGTTTGAGTCCACACACACACACACACACACACACACACACACACACACACACATCTCACTTCACCGTCTGAGAATTTGTGAATGGAAAAATGTCTGAGGACTTGGCTGCAGCTGCAGGACGTCCTACGCTCTTCTCTGGGAGGACCAGACCCTCTGTCTGTGTCTGTCTGTTGTCCAGCAGTACTGACTGACCCCGTCTTTGTCCAGACCTGAGGACAGACACGGTCCTCTCCAGGTGTTGGTTTCACCTTGATGAAGTCTGGTGCTGGTCCAGGGTCAGGTGTCCTACAGCCCACATGGACTGGACCAGGACCAGTCACCTCAGATGTAGACCACACAAGGGACGCTAAGAAAGCAGTGAGAATTATGGGTAATGAAGCAGTGACCTTTGACCCTGACCCTGCTGTCCATGAAACTGCAAGAAGAGAAGGAACGACATCACCAACCAGGTGTGTGTGTGTGTGTGTGTGTGTGTGTGTGTGTGTGTGTGTGTGTGTGTGTGTACACAGAGTGGGAGCCCTGGAGAAACACTCCTCCTGCCACAGGAGTAAAGCCCAGGCATGACGCAGAGCCAGAAATAGATGGAGGGGGCCGTGGGGGGGGGCAGTGAGGGACGGACAGCAGAGGGCACTTCTTCAAGGACCAGTGTGTACACACACACACACACACACACACACACACACACCTTCAAAGGAGGAGGTCTCAGTCATGGCTCCACCTGTCAGTAGACCTGGTTACTGACCCACTTTCCTCTCTTTACTTCAACCACCTCGGAAACACAGAGTGCATCACTTCCTGTGTAGAACAGGAAGTAGGTCACCAGCAAAAAGGAATCAAAGTGACAAAGAGCTGATGGAAGCTGCTGTGCTGCGTGGTGATTGGCTGAAGGGTTACTGTCAGAAATGTTGAGAACTGTGTCAGTAACCCAGGTCTACGGACTGACCCAGGTCTACAGACTGACCCAGGTCTACAGACTGGCCCATGTCTACAGACTGGCTCATGTCTACAGACTGACCCAGGTCTACAGACTGACCCAGGTCTACAGACTGACCCAGGTCTACAGACTGACCCAGGTCTACAGACTGACCATGTCCAGCTCCCCTGTCCTCCAGTCTGGACCATGAAGAACCTGTGGTCACTTCACAGCCTGTTCGTCTGTCTCTCTGCAGGGGTCAGGTGACCACGGCACCTGTCTCACCCCTCGGGGGCGCCCCACTTGTTACAATGTGTTCAGGCTTGCCCTTAACCGTCAGCTAAATTTAACCTGGGGCTGCCCCCCCCCGGGGTGGCTTTAATGATGCTCAACTTCAGAGATGAGGGGTATCCAGTTTACACACACAGTCTGGGGGGGGGGCA